AATCCCTGGTTTAAAAAAAAAAAAAACAGAGGAGCTCAGAAATATGTTGGAAGCCATGAACACTCAACATAGGAAAAAAAAATGGAATTCTTGAAACATTCAAATAGATATCCAGGAGATTAAAAACTCCATTGCAAGTATAGGCAGCTGAAGGAGCCAATTTAAGGACAGAATACTGGATATAGAAAACAGGATTGAGGTTAGCGATCATGAAAAGAGAGATTTCTTTAAAATAGCAAAGGACCATGAGAAATCAATCCAGCAGCTGCTAAATGATGCAAAGAAGAACATGACATTCACTGGAGTCAATGAAGCAGGAGCTAGCACAAATGACATAAAAAACCTGTTCTCAGAAGTAATGGCAGAAAACTTCCCAAACGGAAAAAGAATTTGACATACAGATAAGTGAGGCATATAGGACTCCAATTAGCCATGATTTAAAAAAAAATTCCCCATGGCATATAATAGTCAAGATTCCAGAAACTCAACACAAGGACAGAATATTAAAAGCTGTTAGAGAAAAGAAACAAATCACCTATAAAGGAAAGCCTATTAGAATCACAGCAGACTTCTCAATACAAACTCTCAAGTCAAGGAAAGCTCAGAGTGAAGTATTTCAAGCCCTAAAGGAAACAACCTCCAACCCAGATTGATGTACCCTGCAAAACTATCCTTCAAAACTTAAGCAAAAATAAGATACTTCCATGACAAAGAATACCTGAAGAGATTCATGATCACCAAACCCACACTTCAAATTGTTCTATAAAGAAACAATATTCTAATAAGAGACAATAATCCATGAACCCCTACAGAATAAATCCACCAGGTAAGGCATAAGTTAAACAGAAAAGGAAAGAAGGAAGCCAACAGCAGGAAAATAACATAACAGATAAGACAATACATATCAGTCATAGCCATCAATGTAAATGGTCTCAATTCGCCAAAAGAAACAGACTGGCAGAATGGATCAAGAAGCAAAATCCAACATGTTACATATAAGAAACACATTAATTTAAAAACAAATTCATAGACTGAAAGTCAAAGGATGGAAAATATTCCATGTGACAGGAACCCGAAAAAACAACAACAACAACAAAAAAAACAGGCATGGCTACTCTATTTGCAGACAAAGTAGATTTTCAAGCCAAGACTGATGAAGGGGGATAAACAAAGTCACTACATTCTGGTAAATGGAACAGTCCAAGAGGAGGAGCTAACTATCATAAATATACATGCACTAAATAGCGCACCCAACTATATAAATCAAGTATTAATGGACATTAAAAATCATATAAGCACTAATACAGTTATAATGGGGAAACTCAGTACCACACTTGTCACAATAGATAAACTAGACAAAAAAACAATGAAATATTGGAATTGAACCAAATTTTTGAACAAATAGACTTAGTAGATGTCTACAGAGTGTTCCACCACACAACATCAGAATACACATTCTTCTCAGCTGTACATGGGACTTTCTCCAAACAGACCACATACTAGCTCATAAAACAAGTTTAAGTAAATGCAAAGAAACTGAAATTATCCCATGCACATTATCAGACCACAGTGTGATGAAATTGGAAATAAATGGCAAAAGAAAACACAAGAACTTCATAAACACATGAAAATTAAATAACACCCTCCTGGGGTCACAGATGAAATTAAAGAACAAATCAGACAATTTCTACAATTAAACAATAATGGCAATAAAACATACTGGAACTTATGGGATGCAATGAAAGCAGTCCTACAAGGGAAATTTATAGTGATGAGTTCCCATATCAGGAAAACAGTGGGCTCAAATAACCTAATGTTGAACCTCAAGCTCCTAGAAAAAGAGCAAGTCAAGCCCAAAGCTCATACAAGGGAGGAAATTATAAAAATCAGAGCAGAAATTAATGCAGTAGAGATGAAGAAAACAATACAAAGAATCAATGAATCAAAGAGTTGGTTCTTTTAAAGATTAAATAAAATTGATAAACCCTTCGCCAATCTTATCAAAAAAACAACAGACTCCAATCCATGCAATTAGGAATGAAAAGGGTGAAATCACAACAGATCCTGAAGAAATCCAGAAGATCATAAATACCTGTATTCTAATAAAACCTGTATTCTAATAAGATGGAAAATATAGGAAAAATGGACAGATTCCTTGATACATATAAATTACCAAAACTGAATCAAGAAGATAGAGAAATTCTAAATATCTGGGTCTAAATAAATCAATATCAGCCAATAAATATGTAATTAAAAACCTACCAAAAAAGAAAAGCCCAGTTCCTGATGGATCCACTACTGAATTTTACAAGAAATTAGAGGAGGTATAATGCCACTACTCTTCAAACATTTTTTGGGTTTTTTTTTGGGGGGGGTGCATGGGTTTGAGACAGGGTCTCACTATGTAGTTGAAACTGACCTGGAACTCACTATGTAGTCCAGGCTGGTCTCGAACTTACAGCAATTCTCCTTCCTCAGCCTCCTGAGTGCTGGGATTCCAGGCGTGCACCACCATGCCTGGCTCTTCAAACTCTTTAATGAAAATGAAAGGAAATTGCTTACTCCCAAACTCACACCTGGAAGCCAGCATTACCCTGATACCAAAACCAGAAAAGGAGCCAACCAAAAATGTGAACTATAAGCCAGTCTCCTTAATGAACATAGAGGCAAAAATCCTCAACAAGATATTGGCAAACAGAATGCATCAAGTCATCAAGATTATACATAAATGACCAAGTAGGATTCATCCCACATATGCAGGCATGCCAAAGATTAAACCTAGATCCATATTTCTCACCATGCACTAAACTAAAAAAAAAAATGGATCAAAGACCTAAATGTTAATAGAAATACTTAATCTGCCAGAAGATAAAATAAGTAAAACTCTTGATATAGGTGTAGATAAAGACGTTATGAATAAAACACTGACAACATAGGAAATATTACAAAGAACTGGGATCTCATCATATTAAAAAGCTTCTGGGGCTGGGGATTTAGCTCAGTGGTTCCGACGCCTGCCTTGCAAGCGCAAGGACCTGAGTTCAAACCCCAGTACCAAAGAGACAACACTCATGGAGTGGGAAAAATATTTTGTTAGCTGTTCCTCAGACGAAGGACTAATATCTAGAATATATAAAGAATATATACAAAATATCTTTTTTAAAAGAATCCGACCCCCAAAATTTAGAGATCCAATCCAAAAATGGGCCTCCGAATTGAACAGACATTTCTCAGATGAAGAAGTGCAAATAACAAATAAATGTATGAAAAAATGTTCAACATCGCTGGTCATTTGAGAAATGCAAATTTAAACAACACTGAGATTTTATCTCCAGAAAGAATAGGTAGCATCAAGAAATGAAACAATAAATGTAGCAAGGCTGTGACAAAAAAGCAATCCTTGCAGGTCCTTAGAGGTCTCATCAAGGCTGGGAGGCTGTGAGTGTGAGTGTGCACCGAAAACTATTTGCAGAGCAAACAAATCCTGTGTCTTCCACCAATACTTTTACAGTGGTACCACAGTTCATGCACTCAATTTTCTCCACGATCCTGGTTGCACAGTGAACTGGGTAAAAACCAAATCAAATTTTCCCATAAGATCAACATTGACCCTAACTACTGAATTTGATTGGGCTCTCATCCAACTTGGTTTACAACCAGAATCACGTAAAGAATAAGTTCATAACCCAAAGTACCACTGCACAATTATTATATCACTAATAGCAAGTATACATTGAGTGTGTGCATGTGTGTGTGTGTGCTATCTCATTGAAATCTTCCAATTAGTAGGAGAAAACTGCAGCTAAGCGATAGATGACTTGTCCAAGTTCAAACATGTTTGTTAGCACTCTTTATATCCCAACTAAAAATCATACTTTAACAGTAAACAGCCCTACAGCATAAGGTCTGACCACATCCAGCAACCTGTCCCTGTCTACCTCTCAGCTGCACTTTCCCCTGTGCTGGGTGCTGTGGTGGCAGGACCAGGCCCCATGTCTGCAAGATGGGCAGCAGTAATTCTCACTCTACACAGCATTGAAGGAAATAAGTCAGAGAAAAGCCTCTTACTAGCTCTGATGGGCCAGCCAAGGTCATGTGTGCACTTTCTGGGAGAATGAAACCAGGAACCCAAACCCAACAGAATCACAGGGTATGAAGGAGGCTCAGCCCAAAGTCAAGCCAGAAGAAGGGTCTGTTCCCAGAAGACAGAGGGCTGTGGCGGGCTGTATGAGGCGGGAGTAGGAGGGCTGGAGGATCAAAGACTGAAGCTGGACTGAAACAACACGTATGTCCAAACTCAACAATGCTGCACATGTTCACAGATGCTGTGAACCTGAAACCTCTCCAGTTCTCCCCTCTGCTCCCGTAGCACTTTACAGGTGCTTTTACTATTTTCCAAGTCACACAGTAACAGGAGATTTTGTTTCCCATCTGGAGTCTACCTGGTGTGAAAGTGTTCCTAGAAATGTGCAGTACGTGTGAGCATTTGTTCATGTCTCTGACCTGTGCTACACCAGCCCACCCTAGGACCCATGCCTTTAGTAGCCTCACAAAAGTGTGGAGAGCAGTGTGAGACAGACAAGCCTGCAGGCTTCAGAGAGCGGTGCCTGGAAAGTAAGAGACCAAGAGGCAGGGACTCCTGAGAAACAGACAAGAAATTGTTCTCAGGGACTTCCCACGGCCTCAAAATTCAGTGGAAGCGACAATTCGGTGGGATAACTGAGGGATACTGAGGGCTTGATCTGGTGGCATGTTCCTGGTGTATAACTCATTGGGATGACAAAGGGACCAGTGTTTTTAGCCCTGTCTTTGAGGGTTGACATGAGCTCCCAGATTACAGAGACGAGGGAGACAGAAGTGTGCATAGTTAAGCAGTCTTAGGCAAAGGTGGTCTGGCTGGTCATCACCTCAGGACTGGTCAGGGTGCCCCTGTCTAAAGCAGTGATAAGGAAGGTGCTGTTGCCTGTGGGTAGTTTCCACTCCTCGTGAGATGTTCATGGATCAGACCTGTGATCCCTAGAGTCCAAGGGGACTGCCAGACAGAGTGACTCAAAGGCAGAGGTACCAAGTTTGTAACCCTGCTTTTAGTCGCTCACATTGGACAGCGGCAGGCCCGTGTGAAGAGTCAGTGTTTTTAGTAAAAGTATCCCCAAAGTCTTTGGTACAAGGCCATACACCCAATAGCAAGTTGTATAAATGGAAGCAGGCACAGGGTTCCCAACTGTTGTGGAGATAGGGACACCTCCCTTGCCTAGAGATCAAAGGAGAAGAGGACTCCTGGCTGAGCTCAGTGGAGCCCACTTCCAAGAATTGGCCTATTCTCCAACCCTCATGCTTCCATGTTGGGCTAAGTGACAAAAGATTATAAATGGCAAACCCAGGAATATGTGTTTGGTTCCAGAAGCTGATTATCCTAGCTGTCAAGGGTGAGAAGGTCACACTGACTGTGAAGGATCCGAGCTGCAATCCCACTATTTTTTGCCTATGCCCTTAGCTATGTGCACACACGTATTTAATTATTGGTATTTTAATTTCTTACTGCATGGCTAGAAGGGGTTATACATTTTAATGTAAGGAAATAATTATTCCACAAACTGCCAAAATAATATTTGCCAATCACCTGAGGCAGTTCGGGGTCACTCTGTGGACACCTCCTTGAGTGCCCAACTTTCCTCCTCAATGGCCAACTCTGTAGGCACCGCCTTTGTGGTGACTTCATGGAGCTCCCTGGAGAACAATGCCAAAAAAAAAAAATGAAGCTTTCCCTGACCCCTTTCAAGTCAGGAATTTTAAGTCATCCCTGGCCACTTACCGCATATCCCTTGTGAAAATCTCCTCTTTATCAGAAGAGTCCTTGTCATGTAGCACAGCCGCCAGCTTTTCTACGTGGGAGGCACTGATAGGTCTGTACATGTCCCTAAGCCAAAGTGGCAAACCAAACCCCGGGACGCCCTCCTGGAAAACAGACGGGGACTTAGGACTTCTGCTTTCCCCTGCCTCTTCCTCCCCAGCACCCAGTCCTCCTCAAATTTACCTCATTTTCATGTGCCGTGTTGCATCTCCCATGCCAATGCTGGGAAAAGCCCTTTGTGGAAAACACATGTGCAAGACAATTAGTGATTGGTGTGATTTTTCACCTCTCAAGCTGCACACCTCAGGTCCCCTTAGGACAAAACCTGTACCTTGGTCCCTAATCACAGTGAGCAAGTTCTCCCCAGACCTGGGGTCCTGAAAACAACTCCACAATGCTGGGCTTTCAGAGGCTCCGGCTGTTACTGGGGGCCTCATGTTAGCACGTCCTGGCACAGCCGGACACAGGTGGGGTTATCAGCCCCACTTACACCATGGTCAGGTACCTCGTGCAGTGAACAAATTGTATGACCATACCGAGTGGAAGTGTTTCACTCTGTCCAGAGCCTTTCTCATCAGTCCACGCACACCGAGTCCCACAGCAGGCCCTCACTGGGGAAGAACTAGAAGGTGCTTCTATTTTCCTAGCTGTTTTATCCTAAGTCAGCACACCAAGCAAATACCCAACTCCAATTAGTAAAGTTGTACAGTTCAGAGATTTTCATAGTGAGGGCTGTCACTGATGAGTGAGTTGGGAGATCAGTTTAAAGGACACCATTCACCCTCAAATACAAGATGTCCTTTTTGAGCCACGTGTGGTGTACACACTGGTAATCCCAGCATTCTGGGAAGCTGAGGCAGGAAGGTGGCAAGTTCAAGAGCACCCTGGGCAACTTGGCAAGATCCTGTCTTGAAAAAAACAAACAAACAAACAAAAAACAAATTTAAGAAAAAAGCTGGGGATGTAGCTTGGTGCAAAGGCTCTGGGTTCAATCTCCAGCACGAGAGAAAGCGAGGGAGGGAGCAGGAGAATATGGATGAATCTGAATCCTGAGTAAAAGGACTAGAGGATGACAAGGTAACCGGAAGCTTGCGAAGATGCACTTCCGCCCCTCCGAGGAAGGACGCCTACTCCTCCTTCCAACAACCCCAGCCTAGCTCCTGAGTCTCCAGGAAGGCCTTTGGCTGTGCCTGAGCTCTCCATTGCAGGAGCAGGCGCGCCCAACCTATGGCCTCCACCCTCTGCACTGGATGCCTGGTGACAGCAGGTGCCTCCGCGAAACCCCAGAGAAAGGAAAGGTTCTTCTGCCACAAGTGGTCTCCACACTGTGACATCGGGGGATTTAAATAGATGAGTTCTAAGTTCACCTCTAGTTCTAGTTCTACTTCTAGTTCTGAGGCTCTCATTTAAAGATCCACAGACTCACATTTACCTTGAGAAGCCTTCTTCATTTTCCTCTGAAGGTCTTTTATGGGAATAAATCTGTTTTGGTAAAAAACACAGTCATGAGTATCCACTATCTCCTGGTCTTTACTTATTCCTTTTCTTTATCCTAAATCTTATCTAGCCAGGGCTGGTGGCACACATCTATGATCAGAGCAGTCAAGGAGGCAGAGGCACGAGGATTGCGGCGAACTGGAGGCCAGCCTGGGCTACAAGGTGAGTTCAAAGCCAGCCTGAACTACATAGTGAGACCCTATCTCAAAAAACAAAACAAAAATAAACTGAAAGTATTATTTCAGTGAGTGATAACATTTCTGGAGACAGGAATTCTACCTTGTTAATTACAGTTCATTGGCTTTTTCAAAGAACCTACTTCAGATTCTTGCATACTGCTGTCACAGTTGTTTTACAGTAGTAGGGGTCGATACCAGGGCCTTTGCACTGAACTACATCCCCTATAGAATATATATAATATATATATATTTGTTTGGTTTGGTTTTTTGGGTTTTTTGTTTGTTTGTTTGTTTTAGACAGTCTTGCTAAATCACCCAGACTATGGTCAAATTTGCAATCCTCCTGCCTCCCAGAATGATGGGAGGTTTCAGGCATAAGTCACCACTCCCAGGCACTTACTATTTTATTGGCTATTTTAGATAAAATTCAACAGATAATTCCTAATAAAAATTCTTAAAAGAAAAGGAAACATCCTTAACTTGATAAGGAGATCTAACAAAAATCTAAACAATGTTGTTTTAAAATCAAGAACAAAACCAGGTATGGTGGCATATGTCTGTGGTCCCCACACTCTGGGAGGCTAAAGTGGGACTATCATAAGTTCAAGTACAGCCTAGAAAACTTAGCAGTACCTGGTCTCAAAAGAAAATATAAGGGCTGGGGATTTAGCTCAGTAGTTCTGGAGCCTGCCTCATAAGCACAAGGGCCCAAGTTCGATCTCTGGTACCAAAAAAAGAAAGAAAATAGAATAAAATATTTTAAAAGGCTAAGATGTAGCTCATTGCAAAGGCTCTGGGTTCAAACTCTGATAGTGTGAAAAATGGCATAAAGAAATTTTAAAAATCAAGAAAAAGAGCAGGCTGCCTGTCACTACTGCTTCTCTCCATCCTTATCAAGAAGATCTTAATAATACAGTCAGAGAAATAAATGAGATGTAAGTATTGTAAAGAAGAAACAAAACCAACATTATTTGTATATGAAAAATGAAGGCCAACTAAAACAGCCTGAGGGAATCAATAAAAATGTTTTTGGAAGTAATATGAGCATTCAGTAAAGTGGTCAGATACAAAATCAACAGATCAGCACCTCATTTGCTATCCTAGGTACCACAAATACTAGTTAGAAAATGGGAGAAAGTTTCCATGTACAATAACAATAAAAATGTAGTGAGTGTCTCAGCCACAACTTAACAAAAATGGTTAGATCTGCACAGAGAAAACACTAGCAATCACCCTGATCTGGGTTCAAGTGGCTAAGAGAGCCCCCCACCCAAAGACTCCATTCCGACCTCTTGGGAGCTTCTAAGGGAGACCCTGTTGGGGGTACCTCTCTCCTTCTAAGGAGTCAGTGGGCCACAGTCTAAGGGAGCTCCTGGGCTCCACCTTGATCTCTTAGAGAGAGTACTGTGTCTTCTCAAGTGGCTAAGCGAGTCCCCGGGTGGAGGGTTCCACCCTCATCTCATGATAGTTTCTAAGAGCACCTGTATAAGGCTCCATCCTCCTCCCTAAGGAGTTAGTGGGCCACAATAGGTAGAGACCTAAGGCTAAGAAAGCCCCCACAGGGCTCCACTCTTCTAGTAAGGCACCAGTGCCTCCACCAGAACTTCAAGCAGAGATATCTGCTTGGTAAGTATTTGAATCTCAAAAGAGACTCTGTGTGAACTCCAAAGATCTCCTCCTTCTGCATGGAACGTCATTTGAAAAAACCCAGGCCTAGTTCTCTCTCTCCTTCCTTAGGCCCCAATACAAGTCATGGGAAACACCATGAACAGCACCCTGCAGATCCCACCAGTGACACCACTAGGCCATATCCTTGGTCCATGAGGACAGTTTGACTGTGCCAGTTTGAAAAAGGAATAAGTTATCTATTATTGCAATATGGCTTGTGTCCTGTATGAACTAGCAGGTGGTGAGAGATGGGCACAGAATGGTCGTTTAAGTTATGGCACTATCTTTCAGTTAAATAATTTCTGTACAAAGCATAGAAGGTAGGGTGAAATTCCTCAGATGCAGGCTTTGTGAGCCTTAATCTCTGGGAAAACCCAAAACTATGATATTTAAAGTGGTCCCAAAGGAAAAGAGGCATATGGTTGATGATCCTGTCCTTGGATCCTCACCTATCTCTCAGGGGTATATAGGTTTCTCCCATCTGTTTAATGAAAACAACCATACTGAGAGTTCTTCTCAACTTCCTCCTCCTTATAATTCTCAAACTGGTAAATCAGTCCCTTCCCCTTTAAGTGACTCAGGAACTGCCAGAGCCTTGTACTTAGCAGAAGAACTCAGTATTCCTCAGGCCCCTCATCATGCTTCTCAGACAGCTTTAAGCCCTATAGGACGTACTCAGAGTGGCACTTCTTACTCTTTTAACACAACTCATCCTGCTCATGAGAAAGGTCCCAGGAACAGAGGGGACTACTTGAGTCCAAGTCTGTTTTTCAGTTGTAGATACCTGACAATGCAAAGAATGCCTACACTAACATTCAGAGGATCCTCGTAGGTTTGCACATGGATTTCAATCTTTGACCCTTGCTTTTGAACTATCATTGTGAGATGTTCAATTCATCTTGGCCACTTACTATACCCCAGATAAAAAATAATCCTAGAAGAGGCTAAGGGCTATGCAGATGAATAAACAATACAGTGGTACCTTGGTTCACGAATGCTTTTGGCAATTTTTGTTATTGTTTGCAAACTGCAACAGGTGACAAACACAACCATGGCTATCTTTCCTACCCAACACAAATGCAACCATCCTTTCCAAAATCATAGAACAAATCAAATTCATGAACTGAGGCACTCCTGTACCATTTCCATTCTTATATGGAGACCTCAGGACTCCAAAAAGGTCAAGAAAGTCAGCCAGACCCTAAAACAAGCTTTGGCATTCACCAAGAGACTTCTGAGTCTTGGCTCTGATTGAGTCTTGGCTCTGCCAATAGCCCCCATGAGGATTTAAAATACCTCAAGAACTGGGGCTAAATATGAGTTCATTTGAAATCTTATATGGAAAGCATTTTCTATCTTCTGATATGATAATAGATCAAAAGACCACAAGACTTTTGAAATATCTTATTACCCTAGACCAAGTACAACTGTATGGGAACAAACTCCTGCTAGCTCCTGGCCTAGGGGGACTACCTTATGCCCACCCTAGGAACCAAGTGCTCATCAAAATTTGTAAGGAAAGGGCTCCTGCTGACCAATTAAAACCAATATGGAAGGGCCCCTCTTTAGTGATCTTTGACATACCCACTGCAGTAAAGGTGGCAGAGGTAGATAGCAGGATTCACCTTTATAGAATAAAGTCAGCCCCGCTTGAATTGTCTGAAGAAAAGACCACCCAAAAGAAGAAAGCTACTCCTGTGAACCTCTGGAAGACCTGAAGTTTCTCTTCAAAAAGCAAGCTACTGCTCTGAGTGTAGTTAAGTAGAGTCACTCCTGATCCTAAGCCACTACAGCTTAAGTGGGCATCTGCAGTGAGTCTCCTACTTTTATGTAGATCCATAATGTGGGTACTTTTGCTAAGGCTGTGGCTTTCAGGTTCTTAATAATTTATCTAATGTCCCTCTTTGCCATACATTCTCCTCCACAGGAAGCAGGGGAATGTGATGCTCCTTTTCTTATTTGGGTTCTATATCCCCAACCTAATAGTAAAGTGATTCTCTTGACAAATTCACCAAGCTTCCTCCCATCTAACAGGTAGCTCAATGGTCCTTCATATACATTAACTCCTTTCTTACTGTCTTGTGATAGGTTTTCTTTATTCAACCCATCCAATGAGCTACATCTTAAAGTAGTTGGAGAGAACATAATCCCAGTAGGTAGGACCTACAGCCCCTTTCAGCAGGAAGTAACTATATGAAGACCTCCACTCCCACAGTACTCCACAAAGAATTATGAGAATTTATGTTTCTCAGGGGGAAATGAAGCAGGAGATTAGGTCAGGAAAAACTGGACGGGGAAGTGGGTATGACCTGTCAATCACAAAGTTCTGGGACACGTGTGCAGAACATTTCTCAAAGCCCTGCACTTAGAACTAGTCAAAGACTGGTATTCTTCTCCCAAGAAGTCAAGCAGGTTTTGGTAGGATGGCCTGATCTGACATCAGCCTGAGTAGGGGATACAAAAGACAGCAGCCATTTTCCTCATGGCCACTGTGTTTCTCTGACAGTAGTTGCTCTCACTTTGCAGAGTGCACTTATTTTCCTACTTTTAATTGTCCTGCACTCACTCTGCAGAGCATATTTCTTTTCCTGCCTTTAAGAACTGTAAAATTTCACCACCTTTGTGCTTGTCTTAACCAAGACTTTGTTCAGGAAAGAAAGAACCCAGAAAAACAAACAAACAAACAAACAAAAAAACGTCTAAAAGGAGTACCTAGCTCCCAAAACCCAATAACTCTACCAAATGCAGAATGCGAACTATGTCACAAAGCAGCTGGAATGAAGCCAGGTAACACAATGCTAATACAGAAAAGAGAGCTGGGTCAATGAGAAAGACCATTCAGGAAACTGGAACCAATTACTATCCTTACCTTAGTGAGACAGAAAATTATCATCAAAATCATCGCTACTCCTGTCACAGATATTGTGAAGATCAGTTTGTTCTTATAGCCATATCCTGGAACTTCTACCATGAGCTGAAAGAGAGGGGTGAGGGAGAGAGAGGGAGATTTTGATATTTCTGTTAAACAACAAGGATGGGAAGGATGAAAGCTGACTATTCAAATCTCACTCTTAAAGGTGAGCAGTTTGCAAGTTGTTAAAAACACACCAAATGGAATATGTTACAAATAGTATTATGCATATCCTTCTCTAGTTTGTTTATCTTGTATATCAAGTCATCTTCATTCTCTCAAGGAGCAGGGTGAGCATCGCTGTCCTGGACAAAATCATGTGGCCAAGTCAAGATATGTCCTCCTGCTTGGGTGCTTCATGGCAGACCCTCATGTTGGGTTATTGTCCTCACCTCCCTTGACTCCTGCTCCTTCTCTTCACTCTGGTCTTCTGTGCTCTCATTGATATAATTCTCACTTTTCCAGTGGTCTGCATCCCATTGGGCCTTGGACACCTTGACTTTTTGCTGCTCACTGAGAAGCTTCATCAGGAGGCCAGTTTTGGAGATGAGCTTGGCACAGGCCAGTTGCACAGGGGCCTCAGAACAGTCCATTTTTAAATTCCTGATGATATGAGAAATCAGCCTTCTTATGTCATTGTTGGGGATGAGGGGCCAAAGATGCTGGTTTAGATAAGTTTCAAACTGATCACCTGCAGATGATAGTGACAGGGAGGTGGAGTCTTTGGCAGGTGAGTCAGTGCCTGTGTTGGGGTGCTTCCATTGTGCCTCCCTGGTCTGGTTTGCAGCTGGCATTGCATTGAATGCAGTCACAGCAGAGTGTGCAACAGAGGGATTCTTGTGAGTTGTCTTTTCAGAGACAGTTTCTTCTGGCACACTAATGTCTAATGCAAAATCCTTTCCTTCGAATGTATCTGCTGTGGTATGGTTTTCTACAGGGGTGCTTTCTACAGAAAGCTCTGAAGGAGCATATAATTCTGAGACAGGATTCTCCTGAAAACTCAGGTCCCTTGAAGATGAAAAGAGCCGTCCTGAAGGGGATATGGCCAGGCTCCTTGCTGCTGAGAATGGAGGCCTCTGGGTAACCATTAGTCCACTGTGTGTGTTTTCCTTTCTGAACTTTTCACTCAGCTTGGCCTTGGGTGTTTTGTGGGCCATGAGAGAGTGAGTTTTATGAAAGTCATCTAGTTTTCCAGGATGTAAGACTGGTTTAGGGCCCTCCATGGTTTTAACTCTAGCATTTGCATTTTCTGAAACCAAAATGTTGTAGGTGAAGTCATTTGCTGTCTTTCTCACCTCCGTTGGAGCTTTGGCAGGGATGGAAGGGTGAGGTCTGCCCATTGAGTGATGTTTTAGGAGAGCAGAGACTGCTGCCTTCTGCTCCTCTGTGAAGGAGGGCTGTATGTGGAAGGAATATCCGGCCAACTTCCTGGGCCTTGGCACCCTCTGCTGCTGCTCCAGCTCTCCTGGAAAGGGTGTCCTGAGGCTTCTTTCTTTGGTGGCATTTTCCAAGAATGGCTGGGTAATCCACTTCACCCTGACTTTCTGTTTCCTCACTTCCTTGAGAAGACTATTTTGTGCATGCTTCCGTTCCTCAAGAACCATCTTCACTCTTTGAAGCATTTTCTTTCCATGCTGAACCTCTGTCAGGCTGTTTTCCTGTGCTTGAGCACATTCCAATTTCTTTGGAAAGATTTGGCACCTGAATTTGGGACCAAAAAGGCTAAACTGCATAACCATGACAGTTTTCTCTTTCTTTTTCACCTCATCTACTTTTTCTTGAATTTCTGCATCTAACAAATTCTGCAAAAAATACAGCTTCTTCAGTTTACTTGTGAAAGATGAACTATTGGATGCAGGTAGAAAAGAAGAGTTCTTTGTGTTGTATTTCAAATAACCCAGGGAATTGTCTCCATCTTGTACATTTGAAAAAAGCAGCTGAATGAATGGTAATAATGTTGACTCTGCACCTTTTAGGTTTCCCTGTGAGAAGTACGGCAACAGGTAGCTTAGTGCACTAATGATGTCTACCTGCTCTTTCATAAAGCCCGGGGAGTCGATACCGCCTTTCTCTGAAGATGACTTTTCAGAGCCAATAGTCAGCTCGGTGCTGGTGCTCATCTTCCGGGCTTGTAACATCTTCATGAAAGTGCCTCCAGGGTTCCCTATGGACGCTTCTCCCACTGTCAGAGAAGAAGAAACTGCTCTCAATCAGGGGGCACTGATAGCCAGACAGCTTTTTGTCAGCCCACAGCTATACATGCCAGTCCAATAAGCTAGAAATTGGTCAATATTTGAGTGCCATTTAGAAGGGACAAAAAAGCATCCAAACTTAAACCTATGAAAAGCACAACAGAAGAAGAAAAAGACCTGCCTTGCTGAAGTGCTCCCTACTCGCGACATTCCATAGTGGGAAATACAGCAACTTAACTTAGGACAGCCAAATGACTGGTACTCAATAAAAGGTCAAGCTGGGGATTTAGCTCAGTGCTTCCATCACCTGCCTCGCAAGTGCAAGGTCCCAAGTTTGATCCCCAGTACCCCCCACAAAAGTTTATAAAAAAATAAAGGGCCAAATACTGACAAATATTGGCCCGCACAGCAAGCCCTCTGCGGACCTTCCATGTCTCTCGGGATCCCGTACACCACACGGTCTCACTGCAGCCACAGGGGGAGCACAAGTCTTCCTCACTCCACCTCTCCAGTGTGCCATGTTCTTGCTGCCATCAAAGATGACCACAATGAAGGACAGTCCTCTGAGGACAGCGAGGCAGACATGCAAAAGCAGAGTTTCCATCCCTTCTGCTTAAGTCCCTCATCTGGATATATTCTCTCTACTTATTCACCACCCAGTGCCCTCACTTGGTCCCTGCTCCCATATATTCTAGTCCCATAACAAAAGGCTCTACAGAGAGCCAAATACTATTCTGCCCTGGTTCTCTCCTTAGATTTGGGCGGGGATTTGGGTTGTAGGCTAGGAGGTTTTTATTATGCCTGGTTGCATGCCTGTGTGGAATGATGTGCAATAAATCTGCAGAATAACAGCAATTTCTGGGTCAACATTACTTGAGGTCCTAATGTACAGGGAAAAAGCTGTTTCTATCAGATCCTGCCCTACTTTCATTTCTGTCTAATTTTCTAATCATCCAAAGCTTCTGATGGTATGAAAGTCAAGTGCCCATTGTGACTGTGGTGGTGGTGGTGGTGGTGGTGAGGGCAGGAGGAGGAGGTAAGGATTAGGAGGAAAGAGAAACATGGGCTTGTGGAGAGCCCACAACTGGGGACAGAGACGCGGGCATGAGGCTGTAGCACTTGACAGCTCTTATCTTGTTTTTCTCATCTGCAAAAGGAGGCCAGAAATTCTTATTTTTCTTACCTCTGAGGGAAGAATGAATGATGTAATTGGTGAAAAATTGTTTTGAAAACAAAGCAACTCTACTTTTGCATACTGAGCAGAGTGCTATTACTTACTGTTTGCACACATCGTGGATAGAGACCTATATCCAAGCTTTCTGGACGTGAAAGCACTCAGTTTGCAGGCATGAACTAAGAGCCAAAAAAACCTGATATGCAGAAAAGCGCTTCAATGCACCTGAGCCATCTGAGATTCGGAACAAGTTCAGGGTTGGACAGTCTAGGCATGGAAGAACCTGTATTCCCTTACAAGGGACAGGCAGCACTTTCTGGTTATGCAATCAGAAACTCTCAGGCCCCAAATAAAATAGCATTACTTACACTCTTATACAATTGCAAAAATAAGACAAAACCAATCTATACCTGTGCTGAGGTTGAAGAAACTTGAGAAATGATGTACACAGAAGCAGCTTACAAATTGCGGTGCACTTTATGAATTCAGTTATCACTGGAAGGCAAAGCACCAAGCAGGGGGCACAGGCCATGAACGGTGTTCCCTCCCTTCCATCCTTTCCTCTGGGTCCCTGTGCATTAGCACAGTTATTTCAGGATCCATGCAGCACTAACCAAGAACCTGACTGTCAGCAGGGGAGCACTTCAGAAATTTAGGGAGTTTAACTCTGATGAATGAATAAAAGTAAAGCAATTTTATCATTTGTTTAAAATGTTATCGGGCTGGGGATTTAGCTCAGTGGCACTGTGCCTGCCTCGCAAGTGCAAGGTCTTGAGTTCGATCCCCGATACCGGAAAAAAAAAAAACATTTTGTCAAAAACTTATCATCACCAGTTAAAAATTAGAAAGCAAATAAAACAAAAATGAACACATTTATCATCAGGCAGATGAGACTCACGACACTGCGTGGCACTGATCAGACACGTCCTCTCACAGTGCAGCTTGACTGTCTTGAAGACAACCTCAATTTCATTTTTAAATCGGCAGAGGCAGCAGACCAGATGGCTCGGTAAGATCCTGTAGGCAGAAACACGGAGAGCTGAGCTCCTAGGCAGGTCAAGGTCCTCACGGGGCTGAAAGGAGTTTGAGGCGAGGTCTGAGCAGCTGGGTAGGAACCCAAGAACAATCGCTGCTTTGGAATATTGTTAGTACACAGGAAGGAGGAGGGAGGCGCCCCCAGAAGGGTAAGCACAGCAGTGCATGTGGCAGGCCTACAACAAAGGCAGCAGAGATGAGCACTGATGGGTGACAGTAATCTGTAGTTTTGTTCAGAAGCGTCTCCCTTCAACTCCAGAGTGTCGCTCTGGGCTGGGAGTGCACAGGAAGAAGGCCGACTTCTAAGAAGAGTCTGAATCAGCCTCCAATGTCTGGAGTCCCTTTCCCAATTCCTGTTAGGAGTGGTAAATGTTACGCCTTACTCTGGGCAAAAAAACCAGTTCATTCCTACCACATCGTGTGGTTAACACAGATCCCACTGGCCACATGTAGGCCACTGGAGCAAAGGGATGAGGAGGACTGCGTGGGGGCGGCAGAGAGCTCGCCTAGCGTGCTCAAGGCCTGGGTTTGATCCCTAGTGTCACAGAATACAGAAAGGGAAGGAGGGAGGGAGGGAGGAGCGACAGCACAATGTGAAGAGGAGTCCACGAATTCACAACGACCCTCTGGAAGGGAGGGCGTCTAGCTGACACCGGAGGGAAGGGAGCAGACGCTGCAGGAAGTTCAGGAAGATGAGCCTTTAGCAGAAAGCAAGGGGTGTACAGCGTGGGCCAGTTAAGTCGAGGAGGGACCTGGTGAAAACAAGTGGAGCAGAGTGCTACGTGAAGGGTCTTCTGCAACCCCTCAACTACTTTACCGCACCAGCAAGTTTCTAGTTAGCCTGCCATGGAGGAGGGTGGCACAATTCAAGTTGCAGCCAATGGTATAAAAGCCATTGCAGCTGGGCATGGTGGCACATGCCTGTAATCTTAGCACTTGGGAGGCTGAGGCAGGAGGATCACTGTGAGTTCGAGGACAGCCTGGGTTACACAGTGAGTTTCAAGGCCGGTCTGAACTACACAGCGAGACCCTGTCTCAAAATAAAAACAAAACCTTCATGACAGGGCATTACAGAAAAAAATTTTAAACTCTACAATAGAAAAGTAAAATACCTCATACTATACATGAAAATTAACTCACAATAGATGACAGTCCTAACTGTAATCCCAACACTCAGAAGCTGAGGCAGGAGGATTGTAAATTTGAGCCTAGGAGCCTGGCAAAATCGGCCACTCAGTGAGACCTTGTCTCAAAACTAAACAATAAAAAAGTGCTGGGGATGGAACTCAGTGCAAAGGACCAGGGTTTAATCCCCAGTACCACCAAAACATTAAAACTTAAAAATAAACCATGGACTTAAATGTAACCATACAGTTATACAGTAAAACTCTGGAAGCAATCAAAAGAGAAAATCTTGCAAGTGTGAATTAAACAGTGAGTTCTTAAGAAAGACATTTCTGGGCCAGGGATTTAGCTCATGGCGAGTACAAGGTCCTGAGTACCAGTACCAATAAGTAAATAAACAAATCAAATAAAAATTTTAAAAAGAGAGATTTCTTAGGTAAGATATAAGAAAGCACAAATCATACGAGAAAAGTTTTGCTAAATTGCATTTCATCAAAATTTTTAAAATTTAAAACTTCTGTTTTTCGATTCTTCTGATCTGGCACTCTGGGAAACTGAGGTAGGAAGTTCACAAATCCAAGCCCAGTCTGGATAACTAAACTACTTGGTGAGACCTTGTTTCAAAATAATTTTAAAAAGTAGAGAGAGAGAATGTGTATGTGTGTGGGGTCCTTAGCTCAGTAAGAAAGCCCTAGTATTTAAAAAAAAAAAAAAGATATCTGCACATACAAAAAATACTCAATATCATTAGCTAGTAAAGAAATGCACATTTAAATCACAGTGCATACAATACACTGTAGTAAAAAGGCTGCGGTTTTTTAAAAACTGAAATATAAAGATCAAGTAAAGAAGACATGGTAACTCTTTTCTTTGTTTTTAATTGGTGGTACTGGGGATTAAACCCAGGGCATTCACACTGAGCTACATCTCCAGCCCCTCTTTGGTGTCCTGCCTTTTAAATTTATTTATTCCTTTTTATTTTGAGACAGGGTCACACTATTTCAGAAAGATATCTAGGCAAAGTTCAAACCTGCCATCCTCCTGCCTCAGCCTCCCAGAGTGCCAGCATTACAGGCATACACCACCACGCCCAGCTGCGATAGCCACTCCTGCTTCCCTGCGGATGGATGGGATATACCAGTGGTTATGCTATGTGAATAAAAGCACAACACAAAAGGCTACGCACTACATGATCTCATTTATAAGACCTTCTGGGAAAATGTAGAACCATAGGGACAGAAATCAGATCAGTGGATTCCAGGAGCTGGAGGTGAGAAGAGTGAACTGACTGCAAAAGACGATAGCTATCTCTTGAAGGGGACTCAAATGTTTTACAGCAGGAATAGGGTGGTGGTTACATAACTATACAAACTCCTCGGCCTACTTCCAGCCTGTGAATTTTATTACATGGACATCATACATCAATAACCCTGACTTAAGAAAACAATAAAATAAACCTAACAACAGCAACAACAAATCTAAGTCAAAGAAATCTAAGAAAAAACTCACTTACAGTGTTTCTAATTCCAGAGCCCATGTGAGGATGTTCTCAAGTGCTGTCAATGACACGTGAGTTTGTCCCAAGTCTCTGGAGAAGAAAGCCCAGACAAATGAGGACCCCAACACAAGTATTCTGTACTTAAGCAGGTATTTCAAGGACATGTCTTTATTTCAATTTTGCCTTCTACTAAAACAAGCCAACACATGAGCTTATCATAAAATATAATCCCAGAGAGCTCTTCATGAAGAAATTCAAATTTAGTCTTTTCATCGCCAAATTAATGACCTAGGCATTGCAGAGTAGACGCTACATCTTTTTTCAATGTCATCTTCCTTCTCCTTTTTATACTGCATTCACTTCCCTCTCTTTCTATTTTTTATTTTTAATAACAATTCCACTATGCTCTCTGGGGTAAATGATGTTCCTACATCCGTTTACATGCCCACATCTACTGTGTTCCTCGACGCTGCTCTGTCCCCACTAAGTCTTTTGCTCATCATACATCTTAGTCCTTTTCTTGGCCAAGAACCCGATTAAAATTAAAATTATGACTTTCAGAATCAAAGTACAATACTTAACCACTGATGGAAGGAGGCAAGAAGAGCAGAAGTCATATTATGGGATACAGAATTAATTGTAATACTTACAGATATTTTAATGCTGGTAATTTCAAAAGAGATGAATCTTCGATAGTTGTCAGAGGATTATGATTAAGAATTCTGAAAAATGCAATGGAATTAAAATTATCTGTATTTTCAATATGCATGAGGTTACATGAAAAGTTTATATTCTTTTTTTGGTATGGAACTTATACGTTAAAAATCATTTTCTGTGATTACCTATGAATAAAACTTAGAATATTTCATAAAGCACTCTTCTTCTGGGGATGATGTAGGTCTCTAATAGATAAAGTGGAGGGCCGGGGATTTAGCTCAGTGGTTCGGCCTCCTGCCTCGCAAGCTTAAGGACCTGAGTTCGATCCCTGGTACGGGGCGAAAAAAACAAGTGGAGAAGAGAAAAAAAGTAGATAGAAAAGAAAAATAGGCGAAAGAACAAAAACCCTACAAGTGACTGCACTGGTAGGAAGCTGTGTTCACCCTGTGGGAAATTCTGTCTTTAGTATCTTTCACAATTCAAGGTGCTTGCGTTTCATCTTTATAAATTTCAAACATTCATGGTCTAATTCACTTATTTAAGAAAATAATGAGCTGGGTGTGGTGGTGCATGTCTGTAATCCCAGCACTGGGGAGGCTGAGGCAGGACAATCGCCTGAGTTTCAGGCCAGTCTGGGATACACAGTGAGTTCAAGACCAGCCTGAAGTACATGGCGAGACCCTGTCTCAAAAAAAGTAAAGAAAAATTGGGACCAGTTCCTTGGTTTTAAGCCAAAGAAAAAGAAAACTCTAAGAGGTGGGTCTTAGTAACTTTCCTCCTGCCTGAGACCCAATACCTCACACACCTGCAAGTTCAAGGTGGAAGGATTTATTTTGCCTCACCTTTTAGTCCATAGGTCCAAGGCAGGAAGACACAGGGAAAGGGCCTGGGTGAAGGAGAGAAGCTCATGGCAAAGCAAACAGGAAGCAGAGAGAATAGAGCGAGGAGGAGGGAGGAAGATAAACCCTTCCGGGCCACGCCCCAGTGGCCTGCCTCTTCCAACCAGGCCCCACCTCAGCTATAATCCCTCTATCATCCAATCACCTCCCCAAAG